TAGCTCGGTCATTCTCCACCACCCTTGAGGGCATCTCACATTTTGAACTCGGGACTTCCAGGTTATACTCGGCACAGATGTTCCTGTACACTATGCCGGCCACTTGGTTATGGCGTTCCATGTATGCCTTGCCTGCTAGCATCTTGCACCCTGCTGTTATGTGCTGGATTGTCTCTGGGGCATCTTTACACAGCCTGCACCTGGGGTCTTGCCTGGTGTGATAGACCCCAGCCTCTATGGATCTTGTGCTCAGAGCTTGTTCTTGTGCTGCCATGATTAGTGCCTCTGTGCTGTCTTTCAGTCCAGCTTTGTCCAGCCACTGGTAGGATTTCTGGATATCAGCCACCTCCTCTATCTGCCGGTGGTACATACCGTGCAGGGGGCCTGTCCTTCCATGATGGTTCCTCGTCTCCCTCCTCTTTCTTGGGTTTCTGCTGCCTGAGGTATTCACTGAGCACTCGGTCAGTTGGGGCCATCTTCCCAATGTATTCTTGGATGTTCGTTGTCTCATCCTGGACTGTGGTGCTGACACTCACCAGTCCCCGGCCCCCTTCCTTCCGCTTAGCGTACAGCCTCAGGGTGCTGGATTTGGGGTGAAACCCTCCATGCATGGTAAGGAGCTTTCTTGTCTTTATGTCAGTGGCTTCTATCTCCTCCTTTGGCCAGCCTATTACCCCAGCAGGGTACCTGATCACGGGCAGGTACGTGTTGATGGCCCGGATCTTGTTCTTACCATTCAGCTGACTCCTCAGGACTTGCCTGACCCTCTGCAGGTACTTGGTGGTTGCAGCTTTTCTAGCGGCCTCTTCATGGTTCCCATTCGCCTGTGGGATCCCCAAGTACTTGTAACTGTCCTCTGTCTGCAATGTTGCCTTCTGGTAGTTCAATCCCCTCAGTTCTGACTACCTTCCCTCTCTTTGTTACCATCCGACTACACTTCTCCAGTCCGAACGACATTCCAATGTCATTGCTGTATAGCCTGGTAGTGTGGATCAGTGAATCGATGTCTCGTTCACTCTTGGCATACAGCTTGATGTCATCCATGTACAGGAGGTGGCTGACAACTGCTCCGTTCCGTAGTCGGTATCCGTAGCCAGTCTTGTTAATGATCTCACTGAGGGGGTTCAGGCCTATGCAGAACAGCAGTGGGGACAGAGCATCTCCTTGGTAGATCCCGCACTTGATGGTGACTTGTGCTATGGGCTTGGAGTTGGCCTCTAGTGTTGTACGCCACATCCCCATTGAGTTCCTGATGAAGGCTCTTAGGGTCCCATTGATCTTGTACAATTCTAGGCATTCCAGTATCCAGCTGTGGGGCATTGAGTCATAGGCCTTCTTGTAATCAATCCAGGAAGTGCACAGGTTGGTCAGTCTGGTCTTGCAGTCTCGGCTGATTGTTCTGTCTACCAGTAGCTGGTGTTTTGCGCCTCTGGTATTCTTGCCAATCCCTTTCTGTGTCCCGCTCATGTATTGACCCATGTGCCTGTTCATCTTAGCCGATATGATGCCTGACAGGAGCTTCCATGTAGTACTGAGGCAGGTTATTGGTCGGTAGTTGGAGGGGACCGGTCCCTTCTTGGGGTCCTTGGGGATCAGGACCGTCCGGCCTTCAGTTAGCCATTCCGGGTGTCTCTCGTTAACTAGTAGCTGGTTCATTTGTGCTGCCAGACGCTCGTGGAGTGCAGTCAGCTTCTTCAGCCAGTAGGCGTGAACCATGTCGGGCCCTGGTGCTGTCCAACTCTTTATACTGGAGACCCTTTCTTGGATATCTGCCACCGTGATGGTTACTGGACCCTGTTCAGGGAGGTCGCTATGGTCAGCCCTCAGATCCTCTAGCCACTGAGCATTGCCGTTATGGGTTGCATCCTTCTCCCATATGCTCTTCCAGTATTGCTCCGTCTCCAGCCTTGGTGGTGCTGTTCTCTTATTGTTCCCTTGCCACTGAGAGTACACCTTTGCTGGTTCTGTGGAGAACAGCTGGTTTATTCTCCTGCCTTCTATCTCTCTGGTGTACCTCCTCAAGCGGCTGGCCAAGGCTGTGAGTCTTTGCTTGGCAGTTTCCAAGGCCTCAGGTATGGACAGCTTGCTGTATTTCTTAGGCATCTTATTTGTCGCACCTTTCTGCAACTCCGTTAGTTGGCTAACCTCCCTCCGTGCTACTTTGATCTTGTCCTCTAGCCTCCTTCTCCATGGAGGGTACTGCCCCTTGTCGCTGTTCAACTTGTAGCCAAGCATCTCACTGATCATATTTGTGTTGTTGATCATATACATATATATATGTATATGTGTGTGTGTGTGTGTGTGTGTGTGTGTGTGTAAGCGAGAATGACAAAAAGCAAAAAGATGCTGGAGAGAACGAGGATTAGATGAGAATAAATGACTAAAAAAATAAAAAAGAAGGAAACTGTGTTCAAGAACAAGGATTGTCTGAACAGCAGGAGGTGGCACACACTGGGTGCACTTAACAGAAGCTGTTTCTGGTGGCGTTTGATATTATTTCAGTGGCACTGACCGGCTCCCGGTGGGTGAGTGTAAGGGTCAGGCAGCTGAGCTGAGGAGTGTGTGAGGTATTGGGAAGGTTGGTCTTTAAATAACGGATGGGCTCCAAATTGCTCAGATCTCGGTGCTGCACAGACGCACACTCAGCAAAAGCTTTTGAGCTTGTCAACAGAGGGCTCCCTTTATAGAGGACTATTTGTTGAGTTTAGGAAATGTGAAAAAATGCTTCTCAGTGTGTTGTACGTTCACTCTGCCTTCTCATCCAGTAATGGATTTGTGTTGTAGCCCATCTGCTGTTCCATCAAAACATTATTTTAGGTAATAGTTGTCGCTCTTTGTATCCGGTCTCTGCTGCTGGCTGCCTAACTGTGTGGATGCTGTAAATCTGGCGAGCTCATTAGCACTGACAGAGGGAATGCTAGCAGCCCACCTGCTCCCCTTCACCCTCTTTATGGCTCTACAAATTAAAATGACATTTACACACACTCTCTGCTACTCTGCCTCCTGCACTGCTCACCTTGCCACTCACATTGCTTCATCTGGACAGTGCCGTCGAGCCTCACTTCATAACACCTCCTGTCCTATTTCTTCGAAAAACCCACGAGAATCTTTGTGTTGTTTCTGGTCTTTTCTTTCCGTCCTGCGTTCTCTGTCACTTGCGGTAAATCTCATTGTTTGAATCCTTTGTTTGTCGCCTCTGCTTTGTTACTTCTGCCACTCTTTCATCCTCCACACTCATCGCCGTTTCCCATCTTCTCCTTTGATGCGCTGATGGCACTTTAACCCGCAGTCATTGTGGCATGTCCAGTGAGTGACAGCATGATGAAGTGATGTTGCAGCATGTTTGCTTTGCCCGCTAAAGGTCGCTTAGGGTCACGGAGGTAATGAGGCCATAAAAATGCAGGTAACTAAAGTTGCTGAGAAATAATATAAGGTGGCGAAAAGGGTAGAGGAAGGAGAAACAGGGCAAAATGAGGAAGAGGCTGACTTGAAATGAAGGAAAACAGTTGCCAAAACTGGCAAAGGATTTAAGTGGAAAAGAGAGCGGCTTAATAAAGAGCTCTGTGCGTACAGATTGGACTGTGTGCTGCATTGTGATTGCAACGCAGTCGTGAAAATATGAATGAAATTGCAGTGTCTCATTTTTTCGAGCAAAGTACGCAGTTTAGTTCACTGAGATGTGTGATAAAACATATTTCACTTGCATTAGTCTAACATTGTGTTTGCACACACACACATGGTTTGCATGTTTTCTTTTCAGCGATGGCTCACTTTACAGGCTTACACTATTTCCAATGTAAAGAAATGCTGGGGAAAACTCGGATGTATGTACTGCCTGGGACTACACTGGAGTCTGATTTATTTCCACTCTCTGTAGCCTCAAACAAATAAGCTTAAATTTTTTAATCAATAGGATGCCAGGATTGACAGCAGTAGTAATTCAGTAAGTGATGCAAGGGAACTAACAGTATGTGAGTGACTGAGGGTCAAACGCAGCCCTGTTTAATGGCTTTCTCAAGGCTAAACTGAATCCTGTTGTTTGCAGAGCTTGAAACGTCTGCATGTGGACTATAAGTGAGTCCCACACAACTTAGCGGCGGTTCAATGCAATGGCCTGAGAGAATCTTCCCTGGTGGGTGATCTAAACAGCCTCGTCTAAACAGTCCTTATTTCTCCCATTTATTTGCCTGACTTTATGGATTGGGAGAGAAAAAGCCAGTGGCTTTGAAGATTTGGTGAAGACTCACAAAGGGGTATGTGCTCAATATAAACACAACAAGACTTGTGGATGTGTATGTGTTTGTGTGTGTGTGTGTGGATTTCAGTCCCTGTTTGAAGTCCTCCACTCTGGCAATTACTTCATATCAAGGATTAGATGAGGGAGAAGGCATAGACGAGACACAAAGATGGAAAGAAGTGAGAGCTGAGAAGGAAGGTAGCCGATTCAGTGGGAGGACAGAAAAAGGAGGAGAGAATAGAGATTGAGGTTTGCACTGGAGTTTTCTTTTCCCTGCAAAGGAGGCTGTACACATTCTCTAAACATTAGCTGGAAGACAACTCCTGAAATCGTGGGAAGATCACAGGTGCAGCAAAACACTGCTATTTCCAGCATGGCAAAGACCAAAATGCACTATGAATAGGAGATGATCACCATAAATCAGACGTAGCCACTGTGCAGATACAGCTGTTGCAATAGGCATGACGGTGAGGTGAATTTTATTTATGTTTCCTTAGTGTTTCTGAAAATTCATTGCAGCTCTTTGTTTTCCAAAGTTTTCATCAGTTTGAAGTACAGATTCCAGAGGAAAATGTTCTTCTACTGGAAATAAAAGTTTTTTGTTTACTTTGACATTGTTTTGATGTTCAAAAAACCAGCAAATTATACAGAAATTGTCTTGCATATGATGACTTTTCTTTTCATGTATACCAGAGTAATGAATAAAATCACAGTCTCATTTCCACTCGAGTACAATCGGTAAATAACGTCCGGGCATCCTCACCTCTGGAATATTGACAGTGTATGGCTGCCCGTGGAAGTTTGGGGCGTTATCGTTCACATCTCCGATCTGGATGTTAACTGTGTCTTTGACCACCTGGGGAAAGAAACACCTTGGTTAAATAGTTCCAAAGCCACTGCCACACGTTTCCTGACAAAGAGTCAATGTAAATGTGACACAAAGCCACGATTCAGAGTCAAAGAAAACAGGACAGGTGTGTGACAGAATTCTCGCTGGGGAGACTAGGTGGAATGTCACTTGTTTCAGCAATTATACTGTGTTGAGTCGGACAGGTGTCATGTAAGGAAGAGAAATAAGGGTAAGTGTAAAAGTGAGAGACTGAAAAAGAGACAGATTGCAAGGCCTCTGTGTGATATGAGGTCAGGCTATATGCAGGATGTCAGCGTGTGAAGAAATGTGTCACAACTATGAACGCAGTGCAAATCGGTCTCTTACCTCTTGATTGTCACTCACGTAGAATTCAACCTGCATCTCTGACTTGGTCTGGTGGAGACAGAGATCCATATCAGCACAAAATTTGCATAGACATGTAAAGCAAAGGAGCAGAGCAGAAAATCAGAGACAGAAAACAAAAAGGAGCTACAGAAGCCACTCTGAGCTCGACGTCCTTTGTGCTTTTCCCCTCACATTGTTTTGCACTTTTCGGGACTCTTTCATCATTTGATAATTTACGCCGCGTATCCTATTTTCAAAATTGTTCTGTGTGTCTTTTCTTGTACCCGGTGCATTTGCTTTGGTAATGTATGAGCGTGTGTGTAGCATTTAGTATGTGTGTGCACGAGTTTGTTTGTTTGTACCTCACGGTCGAGTTGCTGTCGAAGCCAGACCACACCGGTTTCTTTGGTCACAGCGAAATACTTCATGGCCTCTTCTCCTGAAACCCCATAGATGAGGGGTTCGCCTTCAGGATCATCTGCCTTCAGCTGGGCCACCGATGAACCTGTCAGCGAGAGAGTCAAAGGTCAGAAGTCCTGCAAAGTCAAAGTAGGCATCAACAAATTTTTAATGACTGAGCCAATTTAGAAAGCGCTGATTTGTGAGAGCATGCAATTCCTGAATATTCACACAAATGCAGTTGTCCTATCAGAATTTCCAATTTGCATGTTACATGTAAAAGTTAGCCTTGCATTAAAAATTGATCAAAAAAATATATATATATATAAATAAATACATCAAAATAAAATGCAAAAGAGTTAACAAGGTACCATGATTGTGACAGAAACTCTGACTTCTCAACATTATATTCAAGGAAACCTACTAAAAAAGAGAGAACCACAACAACTATATGTTGTAAAACTCCAGATGTCCTGGTAGTGTAACGGCTGAAGACGACTTGAAAACACACAAAGGCTCAGCACAAAGAAATGCAGTAGCGTGCAGGAGCAAAGGATTTTTAATTGGAGCTGCAGCAGCTCACGGGCTTCATTCATCATAAACAGTAGAAGCTGGCTAATCAAAACCAGAGGTGGCGTGCTATCATGCAGGTTAATCCGCCACGCTGGACAGATGTATCATGAGGCTGTGTTTAAGAGCGGCACAGAAGACGGTATCAAGACCTCCAAGCTGGTTGGCAAGGCTCATTACCCTCCAGGGTCAAACTGCCTGTGCACAGCATTGTAAATAATATTATATATATTAAAAAAATTAAGAAATATATGAATCCGGGAAGGATTAGAAGCTTTTTCACAAATATCAGAGGCAAGGTTTTCCTCACTAAAGTCCAAAACATACAGTACATAAAATACTTTAAGATACCAGTCACTGTCACTTCACAGATACCTAGTTTGAAATTCCTATTCATTTCTGCCCTGTGCCTCTGATCTGTCCGGTGACAGACTTTGCCCGTGTTTGTTTCCTGCCTCTCAACCTATCATAGCTGGGATGGGCTCCAGCACCCTCCTCACTAGCTGCATAAGTGCTTGGGAAAATGAATGGATGGACTAGAGCAAGAACCCAGCCAAGCCAGTGTATTTCCCTGGTCCCAAGCCCAGATAAATGTGGGTTATGTCAGGAGGGGCATCCGGCAAAAATCTTTGCCAAATCAAACACACGGCTCATCAATGATCGGTCGGGGTCCAGGTTAAGAATGACCGTCCTCAGTGTTGTTGGCCAACAGGGTGCCGGTGGAAACTGTGCTTGTGTTGGCCAAAGACAAAGGCGGAGGATTGTTGTCACGGGTTGGATGACATGGAGGGAGATTAAGGGATCGGCCGAAAGAAGAAGAAGAAGAAGAAGAAGAAGAAGAAGACTATACCAAAACACTGTGGGCTTATCTTTGCCTTGTAACTGCTATTTGTGCTCACACTGTTAATGCAAAAAATGCTGTTTGTAAATTCAAAAATGTGAGAATTTATCCTAAATGTCAAGACAGGATAACCTCACGGAAACACAGAAACTTAATCTGGGGTGTAATTTTCTTTGACTGCCTCTTGACCTCAGGGTGATATATGCTGAGGTAAGCATTTGACTGTTAATTAGGAACAGGTTTGTTTTTTTAAAATGAGTGCATGGACAGAAGAGAAAATAAACAGATCATTCAATAATTGCACAGACACAAACACTTGTCCCCCCTCCCTGGCCAGACAACAGAAGTGAAGCCAAACTAAATCAAATCTGTCACTTGCGCACCACACTGCTTAATACAGTGACCAATTAGGCTTCACAATCACACACCCCTCTCGTTTTATTAATACACCCCATTTTCTTATGAAAGGGTGGCAAAAATGACTAATTAATATAACGATTTATGAACCCCTCTCATTGCAGTCTAATGAGATTTATGCAAATTCAGCTGCTTTCAATATGAGTTATAATTTGGTTGAAGACGGTGCAAATTAAGCATTTTACCCCATAGTCATCAATAATAACTGTTTTTTTCCTCCTCCTTTTGGCCCTCTCGACTGTGAACGAATTGTCTGCTCCACGTGGGTAGACATACACTTGAGTGAAGGATAACAAATGTTCATTTCAGACTATGTATGAGAGACAGTCTTGTGGAAGATTAACTCTTACTGCTGAGAAGAAAGATGAACCGAGACCAACTTACTGAGAATATGAGTTAGATTCTCTGCCCTGATTAGACAAACGAAGGGCTGCTCTAGATGCTAATATATTATATCACCAAATATGTGTGCAGTTATATATTATTGGAATAAATAAATTTTTTACATAGAGATTTAGTGCAGAGACCAATAACACTGCCTGAGAACTTCTTTTCTGGCTCCTGTGGGTCAGTTTTGTTTTATTAACAGATTTTTTTTAACCTTGCCTAAGGTTATAGACATTAACAGAGCAAAATGGGTGTACTTAGATAAAGACAATAGGATCGACATAATTTATTTTGTCCTCAAATATGGAAATTTCTGAGGTATTAGGATATTATACTTTGGTGAAAGACATTCTTAGCATAAATTAAGGTAGAAAAAAGATTTAGACATTTCAATAAACGACAAATTGTAGAAAAGTGGTTAATTGTATCATTTTGTTTTGGTTTTTTTCTTACAGATTTTTGAAACACTGTGTTTTTTCATTTCAAGTTATTTATGCTGTGTTAGTTTAACATTAGGATTCATTTTCAGGATTGTGGGTAAAGAAAAAAGGTGTAAAATACTTTGGGTCATGATTTAGGTTGAAGTATTAACATGTAAGGTGAATGTTATGTTTTGGTTAACGTAAGGCAACTAATGGTTATAGTTTAGGTTGGAGTAAAGAAAATGAATGTAAGTCAGTGCAATGTCCTCTAAAGTCACATATACACAGCTGTGTTTGGGTGTGTGTGTGTGTGTGTGTGTAGCGTAGGTATCCCTCTAATGCTTATCTCTAACACTGTGACACCAAGCCCTTTCGCCTGACAAATGATGCTATTTAGCAGCAAGTGATGCCAGTATTACTGTTATGAATGATACAGTGCACATTAATATTGCCCCCTCCCCATCCCTTCTAGTCTGCAACACTGCATTCATGACAAGAGCAATGGGCGAGAGGAACCATCTCTCTACTTCACCTTTCTCTCTACGATTGTCCTCGGAACCTCTTACTTCCTCACTTTTCTCTCCACTTTTTGGTTGTATTCACGTTTGTAAAGTGACACTAAAGTCACAAAGTCAGAGACATCGTCATTACCAGGACAGCAAGAACTGCCATCATGAACTTGATCAAGATGCTTTGTGTGTAAATATAACTAACAATCAGAGAGAAAAAAGTTAAACAGCATAAAACATTAAAAAAAACCGAAATTAGACTTAAAGATTTGAGTTAACTGATTTGAGTTTTTTTTTCTGTTGTTGTTTGTTGGTTGTTTTGTTTGTTTTTGTGTTGTGAAATGTTAAAAACAAATAAAGACTTCAATTATAAAAAAAACAACAAAACGAAATTAAATCTAGCCTCTCATACAGCATCCTACACTGCTGCAACCAGTGAATCACAGCACAGATCCTGAGGGACACCTTGTGCATATCTCTGTGACATCCGCTGCTTCTGGCAGCATAGGAATGAGAATGAGTGGGTCAGAAACACAGCAAAGGAAGGTAAGCCCACAAAAACATCTAGGGACTGAACTGAAACAGCTACCGCATCTTGTTAGATTTGCAGATCAAGTATCTGAGACTTTCTTCTTAAGACCCCACAAATTTCAGATTACTCATTCAAGCTGTGAAGGTTCCATAAAGATGTTGAATGAATGTTAAATAAAAACACTTTCCACCTGCTTACAGAATCAAAGAGGACGGATACCTAACTGAGAAGCTTAAAGAAAACAATGAGAGCATTTAGGTTTAAATGTCTGGGCTGGAGTGTGAGATGGCCACAATAAGGAAACAGCGAAAAATGAGGGTAGATGTTAGTGGAAGGGAGGAGGAAGAACAATGATGTTTCTTAAAGGGAGTAACAAATACACCCCATTACTGCAAGCACTTTTCCAAAAGCATGAGTTCGTAAAGACAAACCATTTTTGCTTCACTATGTCAGGACTGAAATTCACACTACCACTATAGGCATAAGCCTGAAACTGAGGAAGAAGAGGAGGAGGAAAAAAGCAAGGAAGACTTGCTAACCTATAGAGAGCAACACCTGGATGTTTTACTGAGCCCAACCTTTTAGAAAAGGCATGGGGGCCCGTGGGGGGAGCTAAATCAGCCGCTGGAGGACATCAATCCCTGCTGGATCAATAAGAGTCGTGCGCGTTAGACGGGGACTAGCCTCGGCCCTGCCCTGGGGCCTCAGGCTTGGGAAAGAAAAGGGGCTGTAGGCCAAAGCCCTGTTTATTATGTTGGTGACATCTCTAGACCTCTCGTTCATCTGAGTTCTGATTCACTGGGACAGGCACTGTCAGCACTGCAATTTCAGGCATGCAGTGAATTATAGCTTTAAATTTTATGGAGCACAGAGGCTTAATGGATATATGGGCAATGTTCAGCTGTCTACCAGCAGGGGCAAACAAAAAAAAAGAAGAAAAAAAAGAAAGAATGGATGAAGCCACCTCGAACTATATGAGATTGACTGACTGTGCAGGATGGTGCTGGAGAGAATCTTGATCTTTACCTGCTCTGTATAAATACTTGATGGGTTGTCTTGAGGCAGGGCCAGTAAGACTGAAGTCATGCAATCACTTGGCTGATGAGTCAGTATGATGCCACTCATGTTACTGCACTGTCTATCCGCTGACAAAGAGAGCCTTCAAACACATCAGCAATGCCAAGCTGAAGCCGCGCTGCCTCACATCAATCACTGCCATCAAAAATTCACACAGGAAAACACTGTCATAAGTTAACTGGCAGCATGAGCTAATTTCATACAGCGCACTTCTACTTTAAAGTGAAGCATTTGCCACTTTATAGATTACCACGTGAAGAAAATTTGAAAACAGATTGTGGTGAGAAGCAGAAATAAATTTCACATCTGTCAAACAGAACAGTTGTGATTATGAGAGTGTGACTCCAAGCT